TATAATTAATTCGTGTTTATTTCTTCCATAGTTTAGACGAACTTAAACTCCCTGTTAGCAAATAATCTTAGTTAACTCAACGACGAATCGTTTAAGCTAACAATGTAATACAGCGGAACCGTATGCTACGATCGCCAAAAACATGGAATAAATATGGCAACCCTAATGTCTATTAATTTGCTGATCTCGATTTGACTGAAAAAAAAAAATAAACCTATATGATAATTCAGTCTACAATCCACCCAATAATTCTCCTAGCCAGATACTGGAAATATAATAGGACTCATCATTAATGAGGTTTTTCTTTCGTATCTTCCATCATGATAATAATAACCGCCATCATATCCACTGTTTACATTATATTTATTATATCCATCATCATCTGAATCATTTGGCATCTCTTCTTCAGAATCATTGTCGTGGCTACAGTCACTATCATCATCTACCATATCTGGTACCTTTGAAATCTCTTCATTCGCCTCTTTCACTTCCTCATCTTCAGAATAAAAATACACATCGTCATCATTGTCTGCCTTAGCGATTATTCCAGACTTTTTAGAATCCTTCTCAATCGCTCCTTCTTCCTTAAAATAATCTGTAATATCAGATGTGTCACTAAAATTATCATCTGAGAGGTCATTAGCTGATGTATTACTACGGTTGAGGCGATTTCATTCTCATAACTCTGATCAATGATTCTCTTCGATTTGACCTGTTCTATAATATATTCGATTTGAGGATTAGTGAGCCTTGAAATTTTGTCAGCGCTACAGATGACCCGTTGAACCATATAACCAGGTATACCATCAATCTTTTTCAGAGTTATAGGATCATATTCAAACCCAAATAACTTATTTATTTTTCTTGCCTTAGAGGTCATTTTGCGTAAATATTCATTCAAAATACCTGTGAGATACAGCTTCATTTTATTATAGATCTGCTTTCTTGCAGTCTGATCCATAAGTTTTTTATCATTAGATCTAAGCTCCACTACTTTATTTTCGAACCTTTCAGAGAATAAATACCAAGCTGTTATTTCTGCTCTCTTTATTGTGATCGATCTATTTCTTGCACTATTTGCTTGGAAGAATGAATTGGCAAGTCTCTTAATACTTATTGATCCAGAAATGTGGTTTTGGGAGAAGAAAACTTTATAGTTTGGAGTAGATCGTCAGATGAGAGAAGCTCTTCCAACAAACCTTGCACGAATTCAGTAGCTATTTTCGAGGAAGATTCTTCTTCCACTGGTCTTTCTATCTCTGAGCGAGTATTGGTAACAGTTTCTCTTTCATGTGACGATTTTGAATTTTCAGAAAACCTGTGAACACTGTTCACGAGTTTTATATCACGTAATAATTTCGAATCTACCTTGGAATTTATAATACATTTTGGGATTTCTTCCTGGGAGACATCTACATTGACCGATTGTGGATCAACCTCTATTTCATGAGATGAAGTAGGGCAAAAATGAGGTTTCTGGGACAGAATTCGAAACAGCAAAAAATAATACTCAAAAAAGATTCCTGACCGCCTACGAATCCATTCTAGCTATATAAATCCATTATCAATACAAAGCTCTAGCGTAATTTGACTCAATTCTAGATGATGTTATCAAACATGACTAGGAATTAGCCTGTCTAATATCAAAAACTACACTGTTTGATATAGCAATTCTAGCCTGATTTTAATCCCAAATAATATATGAAAAAATTTTTACTATTCTATTTGCCTTAGAAGGGGCCATCAAAAATCAAGAAACAAAGTGACGTGATTTGAGCTGGGCCTGACATTGCAAACCCAAATTTAATAATAACTTTT